CGAGTATCCAAATACTCCAATTTGTCAGGAGTACACCAACAATCTTCAAATGAAGGAGCCCACAAAGGCAAAAGAGTGGTGTTGCCGTCAACATACGTTGGAAGTCGCAGATACATGGAACAATTATACTTTGATGGAATGGCAATTTGTAGTCAAATTGGATTTCCCGATCTATTCATTACCTTTACTTGCAATCCATGTTGGCCAGAGATTCAGAGGTTACTTAACAACATGAATTTACAACCTCAAGATCGTCCTGATATAATCTCAAGGGTTTTTAAAATGAAGTTTGACGAATTACTGTATGATATAACAAAGAAGCATGTCTTGGGCAGAGTTGTTGCATGTGAGCCACATGAAATTAAATATGTAATACTTAATTCTTCCCTATTCTATACCAATGATTTTAAATTAATGTTTTACTGTATTTTAATTTCTTCCAGATATATACACCATTGAGTTCCAAAAGAGAGGTTTGCCCCATGCACACATTTTACTTTTCATGCATCACCAGAACAAGTTTCCCACTCCGGATGACATCAACAACATTATTTCAGCAGAAATACCGGCAGAAACAGATGATAAACAATTAAATCATTTGGTAAAGACACATATGATTCATGGTCCATGTGGGTTGGCTAACAGATCTTCCCCTTGCATGAAAAATGGTAAATGCCCTAAATTCTTTCCCAAAAATTGGCAGCCTCAAACCATTGTCGATCAAGATGGCTATCCCGTCTATAGGAGAAGGGATACTGGCATTATTGTTCTGAAAAAAAGTATTGTTCTTGATAATAGGTATGTAGTTCCTTATAATGCATATCTTCTAAAGAAATATCAGGCGCACATTAATATGGAATGGTGTAACCAAGGTACTTCTGTCAAGTACTTATTCAAGTATATTAACAAAGGTTACGATAGAATAACTGCAGCGGTTGTTCGGACCGAATCAGACGGAAGTTCATTTGGTACAGATGTTGATGAAATCAAACAATACCTTGATTGCAGGTACGTTTCCCCGAGTGAGGCGTGTTGGAGGATTTTTTCATATCCTATCCATGGTAGATCTCCTTCTGTCGAAAGGTTGTATTTTCATCTGGAAGGCGAAAATCCGGTTTACTACACTGACTATGATTTCATAGACAATGTTCTTGAAAAACTAACTGTAAAGGAATCAATGTTTACAGCTTGGATGGAGTCAAACAAAAAATACGAAGATGCAAAGACTTTAACATACACTGCATTTCTTTCCAAGTTCGTTTACGATAAAAGGTACCGTTTATGGAGACCTCGAAAAAGAGGTCGTACGATTGGCCGGTTAATTTGGGTTCCTCCAAGCACTGGTGAGCTCTATTACCTTAGAATGATGTTGACGGTTGTCAAGGGACCGACTTGCTATGACGATATAAAAAAGGTTGGTGGAGTAGTCCGCGACAGTTTTAGAGATGCATGCTTTGAGATGGGATTTCTTAACGACGACAAAGAATATGTTGCAGCCATAAATGAGGCCAAAGATTGGGGTTCCGGTAATTTTTTGAGGAAGCTATTTGTCACGATGCTGTTGTCTGGTACTGTTAATCGACCGCGACATGTTTGGCAACAGACTTGGAAGTTGTTATCTGACGGTATTCTTCATCAACAGAGAATTGTCACTGGAATAAGAGGTACACTTAACAAATACCTAAATACTTCTGTTAAATTTCATACAATTACAAACCGTACGAAACTATTATAATGAGTTTTTATTCTTATAATACCTTTTAAACTACTTTGGATGCAATAATTTCAATCCTTTTATACTTCCATATATCTGTTACATATCATACAGTTCAAACCATACTTAAGTCTTTTGACAGGTTCTCATTGTCGTAATGTAATTTCAACTCATGTAGATAGGGTCTTAACTTAAGAATTTCAATTGTTACCAAACTGGTTCTGCCATAAAATTTTTCGACTGTTCTGCCCATACACAGGCTTTCCTGTTCTTATGCCATAATGCTTCATATCATTTCCATTCAACATCACCTTTCAATGCTGCCCTTTCAAAGAATCATAAGTTCCAGTAAGCAAGTCCTTTCAATGCTGCTATTTCATCAGTAATAAAAATATCTAATGCAATCTGATATTACTCACCACCAACACAGAACAGAATAATTCTGTGATTTATCTTTTACCTTCAACCACCTTTTGTCACAGCTACTGATCAAAAACATAACATTTTTAATGAACCCGAATGTCTGATGCTCTTGCATTATACTGAACTTTTCCATGATACTGCCATTTTAAGGTTAACGATCCTTTTGCATGTCTATCTTCATCAACACTGTGATTTCTATTGTACATAATAGTTATATTTTATTTTGGTTTGTATTTGTGTTGGAAAACATGCAATTGTCAACTGCAGAACTGACAAACCTCATATTAATTGAGATTGAGAATATGATGCAATCAAATAGAAGAAGCTTGCGTGAATTCAAAGATATGCCGTTTCCAGATTTGTATATAACGCGACATGTCGGTAATAGACTGATTTTTGATGAACGTGATTACGATGCTGATTTAGAGCGACAAAACTTCCAGAATCTATTTACATCTCTAACAGGTATTTCCTCATTATTCAAATCATCGATGTTTTCATTAAACTACTGTTGTATTGATTCTTTTCATTTGAACGTCAAGATGAGCAACGTGCAATCTTTGAAACCATAATGGACGCCGTCAAGAAACAAAACGGAGGGGTGTTTTTTTTACATGGATACGGCGGAACCGGTAAAATGTTTATGTGGAGGACATTATCAAGTGCACTTCGTTCAGATAAAAAAATTGTTCTGGCTGTTGCTTCAAGTGGCATATCTTCCTTATTATTGCCAGGTGGTAGAACAGCCCATTCGAAGTTCAAAATTCCCATTCCAACGCTTGACAACTCTACTTGCAATGTTGACAAAGACTCTGAGCATTCACAGTTATTCGAAGCTACTGATGTCATAATATGGGACGAAGCACCCATGGCTCATAAGAATTGTTTTGAGGCCTTGGATAAGACCCTTAAGGATGTCATGAGCGATAAGGGTTTTGCAAATACAATTTTTGGTGGCAAGGTAGTTATATTTGAAGGAGATTTTCGACAGATACTTCCAGTTGTTCCAAGAGCAGGCCGTTCTGATATTGTTCATGCTTCCATTTGTTCTTCTTATGTGTGGGACTATTGCCAAGTCTTAACACTAACCAAAAACATGAGACTAAAGAATGGGAGGGACGGTACAACTTCTGATGAACTTGCAGAATTCTCTAAATGGATATTAAATGTTGGCGACGGTAAAGTATGTGAACCTAACGATGGATTAGCTGATATAGAAATTCCTCCGGATTTGTTAATTTCCAATTTTGAGGATCCAATAAGAGCTATAGTTGAAAGCACATACCCAAATTTGCTTGCCGACTTTCAAAATGTAGAATTTCTACAAGGAAAAGCAATACTTGCTTCAACCATTGAAGTTGTTGATAAAATTAATCATTACGTGTTAGACATGATACCGGGTAAACTATTTTTTCTTTTGATGTTTATTTTCGTGTAGATGTTTCGTTATTAAATTATTCTTGAAAAAACATTATGGATTGATTCGCGTTTTCCCATTTCTTAGGTGAGGACAAAGAGTATTTGAGTTTTGATTCGATTGATAGAACTGATTCAAGTTACACCGAAGCCTATGAATGTCTTACTCCAGAATTTCTTAGCAAGCTTAGGACTTCAGGTGTCCCAAATCACAAACTCAGATTAAAGGTTGCTACACCAATAATGCTTATGAGGAATTTGGACCAAAACGATGGTTTGTGTAACGGAACTAGACTAATTGTTACAAGGTTGGCAAATCACGTTATTGAGGCAAAAATCATGTATGGTAAGAATGTTGGTAACATCTTTTACATCCCTCGAATGTCTATGTCACCTTCCGAGTCACCGTGGCCATTTAAGTTGATTAGGAGACAGTTCCCAATTATTGTGTCGTACGCAATGACAATTAATAAGTCTCAAGGCCAATCACTTGATACAGTTGGATTGTATTTGCCTACTCTTGTATTCAGTCATGGCCAGTTGTATGTAGCCATTTCAAGAGTTACAAGCAAAAGTGGTCTAAAGATCTTAATACATGATAGTATGAATGTATCAACATCTATCACTACAAATGTTGTATACAAAGAAGTTTTCCAATCTCTTTGTTGATCGGTAAGTACATAATAACAAATATTTTCTTTAATATAAATTGTTTCCGTAAATGCTGTCTAATTTTTGCATAATTTATTGTGCAGGTCAAAAAGTTGAAAACATCGTTTCCAAGCTGGTTGCGTTGTATCTGAAGACTCGTGATAGTTTCTTATTTTGAAGAGTTATCACAGTTTCTTATTTTGTTACACAATCATGATTTCAGTTTACATTTTTTAATGTTGTCAAATAAGTTTGATACACTAAATTTGGCCGAATTAGATGAACTTTTATTGAATTACATAAAAACGAATTTACTGTTACATGACAACATTAGTTCCACGTTTTATGAATTCTCGACCGGCCCCGTGCGACAACACGGGTGATCGACTAGTTACTATGGGGATAGGAGAATCACATTTCAACTATAAAGAGGATTTATATCTAATCTTTTTAAGAAAAAATTTAAATTGAAAAGACAAGTGACAAAAATATATTTTGGTGAGGTTAAATCACTTTTAGTCTTTTAAAATTGTTTTAATATGCTTAAGTATATTGAAGCATTTGTTAAATAAAAAAAATTTAAAAATGCAATGACACAAAAAGGTTTTTATATAAAAGTAGTTTAAGTTTAAAAATTGATTTTTTTAATTAAAAGGTTTTTAAAATACATGAGAATATTAGATTTACAAACATTAACGCAACACAGTATAGACATTAATCTACCATATAAGAAAATTTAGTCTCTGAAAAATACTTAATCACTCTTGATAATCCTACGTTTGGCCACGTCTCCTTTATGATTAACTTCACTCCTTGGTTATCTGTTTGTCATTATTATCTTTGCTTCAAATTTCAAATTCTACTTTCTCTCTCGTCCTTTCTCCCATTCTGTCTCTTTTCTCTCTCATTTTCTCTCTTTCTCTATCATCTTTTTTGTTTCTCATCTTTCATCTTCTTTCTCTTACATCGCAATTCCACATTTCCAGATTCAGGTTTATCAATCAACAATGGCGGTGATAGCTTAGCTGTAGAAGCAGAAAACGATGACAAAAGGGATGTCACGAGGTAACTTTGTTTCTCTTCGATTGATTTCTACGATTTACGCTTTATCATTATCTTTGTTTTGGTATATTGATTTTTCTTTGCATTGAAGCAGGCTCGTCATGCTTTCTACTCGTGCCTTGAAAAGGGATGTCACAAGAAACCAACCGAGATTGCGTCCATAGGTTTGCTTTAACCAATTGAATGTAAGAAATCCAGAGATCAGTTCATAAATCAATGTCGATCTTCTTGACTAAGGGAAACCCTAACCTAATCCCCTTTTAACCCTTTTTCTGGGTTTTGATTTTGTAGTTAGGGTTTTTGTGGTTGATTTTATGATTTTGTGGTTTGTTTTTCAGGATATAGATTGGATAGAGTTTTACCGCTGATTTTTGAATCTAATAAGGTATGGCCTTAAAATGAAACTGACAAATTGCTTTTAGAAGCTCTAACCAGGGAACTTTTATCATTTGCATAATGTTAACTTGGACATTGTTTCTATTCTAATTATTTGAATATTTTAGGATGACGGTTTGGACATTGTCGCTGTAAATGATTAGTTGAACAAATGATTAGTTTGTTATTTGATATGAATATTTTATATTCTTAGGCTTAATTAATTGGATTTTAGTATTATGTATAGTTTGTGTTATGTATTGTGATTAGATTTATAGATGATTGTTGAATACTTCCAATGCGTAAGTAACATTTGATCTCTCAATCTTCACTTATGACATACTTGGAGTCATAAAAGTAATCTATTTTTTGCTTGTATTCTGAGCCATAAAACTAATGAAAATACTTTCGAAACTGCAGGCAGCACATGAGTTTGAATGCGGACGCAGTCGTCCACCAAAATGAAAGCCGAGTAGAGGAATTGAATCACTCCGTGCAATTCTTTGGATTTTCGCTTGGACTCAAACAAGGTTCCATTTACCAGGATGTGTTGTGGTTTAATATTTGAGGCTCAATTTTGATGATTTGCATAATTCGTAACATTTTGTTTGTGGTGTGATGGAATGAGTTGGATTCTAAAGAACTCCAATATGATCAACACAATTATGCAGTATAGGTGTGATTTGTGATTATTTATTGTTGTTTACATTATAATTAGTAATGACTATTTCAAAACTATGCTAATGAAGTAAAAATATATATATATATATATATATATATATATATATATATATATATATATATATATATATATATATATATATATATATATATATATATATATATATATATATATATATATATATATATATATATATATATATATATATATATATATATATATATATAGTTGCATAGAGTCGTTAAATCATCAATATCCCATTCGCTAATTAAGATTCAAAATATATAATGGTGCACAGACTCCCAACATTAATGGTCCTCCAACTGGAAAATGGACAACATGTTTATTTGGACGACTGTGTACATATTTGCCAAGGGTGGTTGAATTTTAATGTTGATTGTCATTATTGTGATTGTGAATTTTGATTTGAGAATTTGATTTGCATTGTGTGATTTTGTTAGATCGGTTTTTAGATATGTGATATTTGATTTGTGTGGGTGTGACAATAGAGAGATTGCGAGAAGAATTTCAAAAGTTTGGTGAAGTGATTCATGGTTTGTTCTTCATCCCTAATTTCATTTTAACATTTGATCTGTTCAATGTAATGATGTCTTGAAAATCTACTTTGAAATAATAATGGTTTTCTGTCGGCCAATTATAGCAGGGGTAGTAATTGATCGAGTCTTGAAGGCATTGAAGGTTTACGGCCTATATGCTACTTTAGAAGATCCTGCTAAAGGCATTGAAGGAATGGATGGCAAGGTAAGATTTATTCAACCATTATTCTATGGAAAGACCGGGAAATGTATTTCTTTTAGAATATTGTTGTCTTAGATTTGTCTATGCATTTGTATTTTTAAGCAAAATATGAATTCAATTTACGTTGTTTGATTCCTTTTACGTTTTCATCATTTTATCGATTTATTTCTTTGTTCGTTGAATGTTTACAATGTCCTTTCAAAAAAATTTGTTATTGTTTTTTCTTTCAATGTTTCCTGTTACTTTTAAGTGCATCTTTTGTGCATTTTCCATCACAAAGTTTTGGTCTTTCTGTATATTTACGACGACAAGTTATCAACTTGGTTTACCTTTCAAGTGTATTTTTACTATATCATTGTTGTCATCCATTATGTTATAATAGTTTACCTTTTATGATGTTTTATAGTGGGAGAGAATTTGTTACTAGATTGGTTGGAAGTGCAGTGCCCAACAGTAAAATCTCAAGGAGGAAGATAATGTGTCTTACCGATGCCAATATTGTACACAGAGTATGCTATCTATCCCTAATTGATTATGGTAGAAATCATGTTTTAAAAAGAGAGGTTAGTGTAGCTATTACTCAACATTTATATTTAAGTTGAACAATGTTTTGTTTCTTTTTGGCATGCTATAGCAATCTTAGGCCAAAAGTGTAAGAAGTAATATGCCAAGTGTTAGCTCAGATGACTGTTTCTGGTTGTCTTTTGTAGAAATGGTTGCCTCCATGTGATTCTTGTAGAAATGGTTACCTTTTATATCTTTTGGTTTTATGGGTTCAGTTTATGCCTTTTGATTTTAAGGGTTTCGATGAAGAATCATTTTTTTTTTAATCTTTGCCTTTTGATTTTATGGTTCATTTTGTTTTATAGCTGCCATAATAGATTCTTGACTTTTTGAGCACATGATATTTTTTGTTACATTAGCAGATACATTATGATATTATCGGTCTAAAGATATGAAAATGCACAGATGGGAAGATGGGAAAGTTGATGCATTTGTTTTTTGGGATAGTGTTGGTTGGGAATTTCATAAAGAGAGAAATCCAAACCAAAAGTCAAAAAGACTCTTTTAAGAGCATTAAAGAGCATTAAATTATGAGGAGTCGACTACATAAGTATGTCGACCGTGGTTGATTTCACAGGCAGGCGACCAAGGTTTCATAAGTGCAGTTGACCAGAGAAAAGTTCATGGTGAATGGATTGGGCCCAGGGAGGTAACATGTCCAAAAGAGTCAAAAGGCCCATAAGCGCCTAAAAACTGTTAAGGCGAAACGTTATGGAGGGAGAACGTGGATTCAACCACAACACGTGGCATGCAAGGAAACGAAACCCACTTAGAAAATATTTATTTCTGTGTATTATAAATAAAGCACTTAGTGCATTTTTGTAAGGGGTCAAACTTTTCACATTTCTGCATACTAGTCACTCAGAGTAACCAAGCGAACGAGCGAAATGAGTCAGGCAAAGGCAATGTATGTTTGAACCAACCTATCTTATAACTTTCTTTAATGATATGTCATTATCTTTTATAACTTAAACATTTTTTGTCTCCTTTACTTTGTCTTTTTTGTCCTTATCTTCTGCAATTTAAAACGTTTGGCTCTAGTCGAACGCACCCTTTTTGAAAACACTTTGACTACGTATGCGAATTGAGGCACTGCTCCGAGATTCTTAAGTCGATTTCGCACGTAAACTTGTTTATAAGAGACCAACGTTATTTACCAAATCGACGAGTAAGCAAGTTGGTACGGGTGGAACCATAACAGGATAAAGTTCATGTATAAAAGTTTGTTTTTCTCATAAATATATGTTTGAATACATTTAGGAAAAATTGCACTTCTTAGTTTTAACTTTTTTATTTTTTGCTTTCTCTTTCCAGAATATCTGATATTGGTTTGTTTTAGTATTGTGGCATTTCTGGGTTTAAAAAAAGTTACCTGCAAAGTGTTCGATAAAAGTTCCAATGATAGAGTGATATTTCAGCCACTTAATTACTTTTGCAGCAACTTAGCAAGCAAGTTCTTAAGTGTTTCTGCAGTGCTTGCTTTAACTTTAGCCAAGACATCCTTGTCTTTTAGAATGGTTTGAAATGTTGCCTTCATGTAATTTCATGCTAAACATTGTTTGAAGAAATTTAATACAAAATTATAATTCCCGCAATTAGGTACCAAGTGATTATAGATTTTATTAGAATTACGTTTCAGGTATGATCCTTCTACTGACATTAACAAAATGGATTTCTCTGTTGTGTTGGAGCGCCCTGGTTACCGTTTCGGACATTGCCGCTATTGCAAGGCACGTGTTGGAATCCAGCACCGCGTGACAAAGGAGGATTCCATTAAATGGTTTCAAGTGAAATATGAAGGTGTGATCCTTAACAAGTCCCAGGCAATTTAGTCAGATCATATCATTTTTATGTATGCATTTCAGATTTTGTTTATTGAATACATAAGTAGCTTAATCCTTATTTCTGTTTTATGTATTTGACTGGCAGCTGTAAGTTTCAGTGTGCCCTAACCTGTAATAGCAGGTTACCCTTGATGCTGTATATAAAGCATCAAGGAGCCTTTTGTAACTAACAGAATAACAGAATTCTGTTACAGATGAAAAACTATTCTCTTCTCTATTCTTCTTTCTAATATGGTATCAGATTGCTGAGTCGATCCATGGCTTCGATTGCTTCGCCATCGCCTCCTTCTTCCGCTAGGGTTTCGCCTGAACCAACGCTGTTTCCGTCGCCGATGGTGGATGATTCTCGCCGCTTGCACTTCTCGCTCAAGATTGCGCAGAAGCTGGATGAAAAGAACTTCCATCTCTGGCGTCAACAGGTAGAACCTTACATTAATGCGCATGATCTCACAGATCTGGTGGTATGCGCTCGTGTTCTAGCAAAATGTATTGATGATGTCGCTCGTCATTCCGACTCTGTCAATCCAGCGTATTCTCGCTGGATTCAGAAGGACCAATTGCTGTTGTCCTGGCTTCAGTCTACACTTTCCAGTGAAATTCTCTCACGTGTGCTTGGCTGTAACCACTCTCATGAACTGTGGGATCGTCTCTTCAGCTATTTTCAGAAACAAACTCGTGCTAGGGCACGCCACCTGCGTGTTGAATTGCGTGCTCTTACACTTGACACTCTTTCTGTTCAAGACTATTTGCTGAAGATTCGTACCATTGTTGATGCGCTTGCATCCATTGGTGATCCAATTCCTGTGTCACATCATATTGATGTGATTCTTGAGGGCTTGCCTGCTGAATTTGCTTCGGTTGTGTCTGTTGTTGAAAGCAAATTTGGAGTTATGGACATTGATGAGGTTGAAATTATGCTATTGGCTCATGAATTGCGCTTGAACAAGTTCAAAAAGCAGCCAATTCCAGATCTGGTCTCTCTCAACCTAACTCATGTTATGCCTCAACCACCAACAATAGACGAGTCTCCAGCACTTGCCGCTGATTCTTCCTCAGCTCACACTGGTCACTCTAATCAAGTGCAGGATTATCAACCTTTTAGAGGTGGAAAAGGTCATCGTGGTGGTAGGTTTGGCCGTGGCAGAGGTGGCAGATTCTCCAATTCTAATGTCCAGTGCCAAGTTTGCTCCAAACCTGGTCATTCTGCCCTGCAGTGCTGGCACAGGTTTAACTATCGGTTCCAATTTGCTGGTGCAAACTATGTGCAACCTCATTGGCAGGGTGCTTATGCCTATTACACTCAAGCACCACCTCAAGCCTCTCCTTATGTGTGGACTAGGCCCCCTGCTGTGCCTTCTTATCCTCCTGCTGTTACACAACCTCCAAGCACCTTTGTGGCAAATGTTTCCCCATCTCCATCTGGCTTCTGGTTTCCTGATTCTGGCGCCTCATACCATGTCACTAGTGATGCAAAGAATTTACAACATGTGACTCCCTTTGAAGGCCATGATCAAATTTACATTGGTAATGGACAAGGTTTGACTATTCAGTCTGCTGGTTCAAGCTCTTTTCCTTCCCCTTTTCATCCTACCACACACCTCACTCTCAAGAACTTACTTCATGTTCCTGCTATCACTAAGAATCTGCTTAGTGTCAGTCAGTTTTCTAAGGATAACCATGTGTACTTTTTATTCTCAGCTAACAAGTGTCTTGTTAAATGTCAGGTGTCTGATGCCACTCTTCTTGAAGGTCATGTAGGAGCTGATGGACTCTATGAGTTTCCCTCTGTTGATGTGTCACAACCTGCTAAGCCCCTATTGCATTTTTCTAGTTTTTCCTCCAATAATGTTGCACCTAGTGCTAATACTGTTTCTCTTTCTAATAGCTTGCCTTACATGTGGCATCTTAGGTTAGGACACCCTAACAATCATGCTCTTAAGCTTGTTTTGCAAAATTGTAATGTTCAGTTCAGTAATAAAACTTGTGATATGTTCTGTTCTGCTTGCTGTATGGGTAAATCCCACAGGTTACATGCTCCCACTTCACACCCAGTTTACACAAAACCTCTTGAACTTGTTTATACTGACCTATGGGGGCCCTCACCGAAGGCTTCTGCATCTGGTTTCTTGTATCACATGTCCTTTGTGGATGCGTATTCCAAGTTTACTTGGATCTATCTTCTTAAAGCTAAGTCTGAAGCCATTTCTGTTTTTCAAAAGTTTAAAGCATTGGTTGAACTGCAACTTGAGTCACGTATTAAAGCTGTTCAGTCTGACTGAGGGGGTGAATTCAGGCCATTTACTAAATATCTAACTGAGATGGGTATTAACCATCGTATTCTCTGTCCACATACACACCACCAAAATGGTGTCATTGAATGAAAACACAGGCACATAGTGGACTTAGGGCTTACTTTGCTTAGTCATGCTTCCCTTCCCTTAACATATTGGGACTATGCCTTCTCCACTGCTGTATATCTTATTAACAGGCTGCCGTCTGCTTCCATTCATTTTGAGGTTCCTTACACTCTTTTATTCCATCAGCAGCCTGATTACAAGTTTCTGAAAGTCTTTGGGTGTGCTTGTTTTCCTCTCTTGAGACCTTATCTTTCTCAGAAACTTAACTTCAGATCTTAAGAATGCCTCTTTCTTGGATATTCCACCTCTCACAAAGGCTATAGGTGTCTGGCTCCTACTGGCAGGTTATACATCTCAAAGGATGTTCTATTTAATGAGTCTAGGTTTCCATATCTAAATTTATTTTCTTCCAGACCCAGTGTTATTTCCAGCCCCAATACATCCTTGGCACCCCATTACTCTAGCCCCCTTTTGAGTGCTCTTACTCCTCACATCACTTCTTCACAATTTCTTATCCCTAATTCTTCAAATGCTCTCCATCCTACCTCTCCTACTACCTCATCTGTTCATGCTCCCACCTCTGTCCCTTCTAGCCCTAAGGATTCATCACCAGCTGGTAGTTCTGCAGCTTCTTCACCTACTGCTGCTAGCAACTCCCCAGGGACACTCTCATCTTTCTCTAGTCCAGTTGACCCTTTATTCAGCTCATCTTCAGACACTGCTTCTGCACCACATGTACCCCCTAATGCTATTCATGTGTCTGTTATCCCTCAAAACTCTCATCCTATGATAACTAGGGCCAAATCTGGATCCTCTCAGCCTAGACTGGATCCTAGGGTGCTGCTTACTCACTCTGAGCCTAAATCTGTTAAACAGGCTCTTGCTGATGTGCATTGGAAGGCAACCATGCAACATGAATTTGATGCCTTATAGAAAAATGTCACATGGTCTCTTGTGTCTTTACCCCCTAACAAGAATGTTATTAGCTGCAAGTGGGTATTTAGGCTCAAGGAAAATCCTGATGGCACCATCAACAGATACAAGGCCAGGTTGGTAGCCAAAGGTTTTCATCAGAGGCATGAGCTGGATTTTACTGAGACCTTTTCACCTGTTGTAAAGCCTGTTACTATCAGGGTTATTCTCACTATTGCCATTACCCACAGGTGGTCTATTCAGCAGTTGGATGTAAATAATTCCTTTCTTAATGGACTCCTTGCTGAAGAAGTTTACATGGAACAACCTCCAGGGTTTGTTCACTCTGACTCCTCTCTGGTGTGTAAACTCAACAAGGCTTTGTATGGCCTGAAACAGGCTCTAAGGCAGTGGTTTGAGAGATTGCAATCAACTCTTCTCAAGCTCAACTTTAAAGCCAGTGTGACCCCTCTCTCTTCACCTACTTCTCAAAAGGACACTCTCTTTATCTACTTGTTTATGTAAATGATATTATCCTCACAGGCAGCTCTACTGCTCTTCTCAATGAGGTAATTCACAAGCTTAATTCTGCTTTCTCTCTCAAGCACCTTGGGGATCTTGACTATTTTCTGGACATTGAGGTCAAGCGGTCAGCTAATGGTTCTATGCTCCTCACTCAAACTAAGTATCTCAGAGATTTGCTGCAGAAAACTAACATGTTGGAAGCCTGCTCTGTTAGCACTCCCATGCAGTCCACTTGCAAACTCACCAAAACTGGGTCTGCAGCCTTTTCTGATCCTTTTCTGTACAGATCTGTGGTTGGTGCCTTGAAGTATGCCACCATCACCAGACCAGATTTGACCTATGCTGTTAACAAAGTGTGTCCGTTTATGTCACATCCTCTTGATTCTCACTGGCAAGCTGTCAAAAGGATTCTCATATATTTGAAAGGTACCCTAAATCATGGTTTATCTCTCACTCCTATTTCCCCTCAGGCTGTTCCCTCTCTTCATGTCTACTGTGATGCTGATTGGGCTTCAGATCCGGATGACAGAAGAAGTACATCTGGTGCTGCTATTTTCTTTGGAGCTAATTTAGTTGCCTGGTGGTCGAAGAAGCAATTTGTTGTTGCTAGGTCCAGCACTGAATCTGAATACTGAAGTTTAGCTCAAGCTACAACTGACCTTCTTTGGATACAGACACTTTTGCAGGAACTGTGTATTCACACCAAGCCTCCCATCGTACTGTGTGATACATAAGTAGCTTAGTCCCTATTTCTGTTTTATGTATTTGACTGGCAGCTGTAAGTTTCAGTGTGCCCTAACCTGTAATAGCAGGTTATCCTTGATGCTGTATATAAAGCATCAAGGAGCCTTTTGTAACTAACAGAATAACATAATTCAGTTACAGATGAAAAACTCTTCTCTTCTCTATTCTTCTTTCTAATATTGTTGTGTTTTTTTTTTGAGTTGGTATGTATTTCCAAAACATTAACAAGGTTCCAAGATCCGCTCCACGAGCGGTTTCGATTCGGTACATGAATTGGTAACTTTAAGGAAATCCACTACGCGGTTGATCCTGCGACAATTCCTGAAGGAGCGGAGGTTACTCATGATTCCTGGAATGTCAATATAGTGTGATGTGACTACTGATGAATGTTTAAGTCAATATGTTGAAGAGTGGTTAAATGAATTTTGATATAAAGTTAGGTTTTTGGCTTGTCATTGATAAGATTGTGAATACACGGGCTTGTACAAAAATAACTCATTTCATAAGGGATTATTGATTGAGCTGTTAAGTTTGTCAAGTCTGCACATGCTATTGGATAATTACTCGAAGATATTTCTCATCCAATAGTTAATCACTTTGTTGAATAAAATATGGGGTTATACTTACACATCTTTTTTTTTCTCCATCTCATGTCCTCTGTCAAGTTATAACTTCATAAATGATTCACAGTCCAAAACTTGATAAATGATGCTCAAACCAATACGTATCTGTAGGTTTAGACACACATCTTTATTTGAAGCTTCATATGAATTGGCAATTTGACATTTGTTGAATCTGGTTTTTTTCATTTTTCTTTAACACTCTCCATAATTCTGTTACATAAGCACCAACATTCACACACATATTGTCTTCAAACCATGTTAATAATTCCAGTTGGTCTTTCAATTGTGATTATCGCACTATATCATTTTCTGAATCACACCTTTGCAATCTGACTGCATTTGTGACAGATCCATGCTGCTGGCTGGATGAAGAACTTTCAGGCGAATTTTGCAGGTTTAATCTACACTTGATAGCGGTATGTATGCAACGAGTATGTTCGATTATTACAAGCCGGTGTATCGATGATTTGAATGGTATGTTTATGAATTTGTAATAATAAACTAATGTATGATTTCTTCAGGAATACAAAGCCGTGAAAAGTCCGAAACAAATTATTTCAGTAGCTTCTGTTAGCTTTTCGGAGGACTTCACTTCATCACTTGAAAATTGCTGGAAACGATGTTGAGTTGGAAACAAATTATTTCATTTATCTCATATGTATAGCTACATAAATGTGAATGAGTTGGAATGGAAACAATGTTATGTTATACATTAATGGTTTGTCCCTATATCAATGTTCTGTTATATAGGCACACACATCCCGACCGATGTCATCAGTTTGTAATCAGCTGCGACGACATCGGAACAACATATGATAGCAGTTAGGGGTGCAATGGAAATATCTCATCGTCGACACCAAACATCAAAGATAAGTGGTCCTCATTCATTGTTATTGCTTATAGTTCAAAATTTTGCTTTGCTGCTATTATCTAAATATTGGTCTGGATTAATCAAAATATATTTCTGCTGGATTACGGATGCAAATCCATTATTAATGAATACCTGCAGAGTTCCCAGAGGTTTCCCCATAACACACCGATCTCGTCGTAAAGCAAGGACAGTTTGATGCCATATTCACGGGGAAAAAGCTGGAAGATATTGTCAATTTGATGCCTTAATGTATTTTGATTTTTGAGTATTGGTATTATGTATTCTTATGCTAAGATTCTCTCTGTAAATAATTTCATCTGATTCATGGATTAAGAAACATGCATTCTGTAAATAGATTAAATTTTAGAGGCCTTATTCAGCATATGTTGATTACAAAGTGAACATAAAATGGTGTTTCTCAGGCCTACACTCTATGGAGAATTGAATATAATCTTGATTTTTGCAAGCTAATTGTTTCTGGATGTTATTTGAAATAATTTTCTGGAAGCTATCAAGATCCTGGAAGAATCGTTTGGTAGTGTGTAGTTGCTGTGAAACCCTCATAAATGATTAATAGGACAAAAAAATATTACACTTAGTATGTGGCATTACTAATTATGTATTCTCCTAGCTAGAAAATGGGGAATACATTCTGCAATTTCATGCATAATAAATCAACAATGAAACATTCTAATTAATTTAACATCAAAGTTGAACAATAGTTGAAAAGAAATGAAAGGAATAACCAATATGCAGTTTCAAATAGTTTAGTTATGAGACGTGTTTTGGATTGGGCCTGTCCATGGCCCAACTTTATGTCAGGCCCAACTCGATAATATCGATCAAGGTATGCTGACTAGTTCTGCCATCGACTGCGTCGGACAGCAACTTCCACTCTCCGCGAGGAGGTAGTCTCACCACACAGAGATAAATCTAGTTAGTCTTGGAAATATCATCGCCACCAGGAGGACCCCGAGGTCACTCTCCAATCTTCTCCTCGACCAAGATTGATCCTCCTATATGGCCTCGCGTCTGGTGGGGAGCATCCACGATGAGCAGAAACATCCCTACGAGCATCCTCCTCGTAGGGCTGACTAACAATGTCTCCAATATCACGGAGTCTTCGTAGCTCTGAAAAGACCGCATCCATATCCTCCTGATCGTACGAAGGAAGTCATCTAGGTGGGGACCACGTGCTGGTCCCCGCTACTCACGTAGAATCTGACAGTCTCTACTTTGAACCTGCATGACTAGTCCAATAAGGTGATTTTGGCCCAGCGCTGAGAGTTATAAATACCCTCTCATTCGACAGGGTCGGGTATTGAACATTTCTTACTTACTCTTGCTTGCTAGCTCATTCTGACGTAAGCTGTAACGGTCTATTCTGATCAGGTACGATCAAGATGTAATTTAGTAACTAGTTCAACTTATGTCTCAAAATGACTACCGAATAGCATTGACATAAATATGGTAATGATACATACCAGCCTACAATATAAACCACCTGTCAGTTTCCCTTTCAATTATAAAATATTTTTAATATTATTTAATGCAACATAATGAAATAGCAAATACGTATTAATGATTTTAATCAAATTTAAGAAATATAATATTAAAAAATTTAATATCCTATTAATGATTTTAATGAATTTAATAACAGTTAATATTTAATCCATAATTTAATTAATTCATCTATAATTTCAACATAGTATTATGATTTAAAAAGTATACAAATTACGAATTTTAAAAAAATATGTTGTTTGTTTTAAATAAAAATATATATTAATTATGATACTATTTATATTGGTATCTACACCGTTATATCCAATTATATATAATAATATACGATACTAATGATTTTTTTAATTTATTTGAAATTTACGAAAAATGTTTAAATATAACTTTATATAAATTGTTTTTATAATAAATGATAAAACTACATCACGTTATTTATTTATATGACTTAAGCTAATTTTATAAATTATCTTATTTAATTTAAAAAATGAATTGTAAAATTTATTAAAAATTTTCACAAATGATATATATATATATATATATATATATATATATATATATATATATATATATATATATATATATATATATATATATATATATATATATATATATATATATATATATATATATATATATATATATATATATATATATATATATATATATATATATATATATATATATATATATATATATATATATATATATATATATATATATATATATATATATACTATTTTCAACTTATTTTCAACAAATATTTATTTTAGATATTTATTTGTGTCATTTATTAAATTTTATAGATCATTTTATTATTATAATTATATCAATCCTACAAAAATATTTTTTCTCTTATTTTTCACAATTATTTTTTATATAGTATGTGCTTAAAAGTTTTTAAAAACTTCTATAATTATTTAGAAGTCCATTTTTTTCTTCTTTTTTCTAATAAAATTTTGATATATTCTCATTTTTTTTAATTCTGTGACAAACTGATGATATATCCGCGGTCCACATCAGAACCCGTGCAGACGTACGAGTTTTTCACTAGACACTAAAAAATGGATAAACACACATCACGAATGAGAGGATAATATCATAAAATAGCATGATTTTTAAAAGAATCATTTGAGAAAAATGTTCCCAAAGGTTTTAAAGAAAACACAAAGGCTTTAATCAAACTAAAATAAAAGAAACTATTTTTTTGGTATTTTTAAATAATTAATATGTTAAACAATGATATAAAATAAAATCAAAACTTTGAATAAATGAAAATAAAATATTTTTGGTGTTTTAGTATGTTAAAAGAACAACAAAAGACATGTGTTTCCACTATATAAAAATAGTCAAAAATAAAATGTTTTTTTGAGTTTTTTCATGGATTGACAAAATCAGAGTTCAACCATAGAAAGTAAATGAAACAAGAGAAAGTAAAATATAGCATATGGATTCAAGAATTATATATTTCCGTCTTCTTAATATGTATGATTCAATCAAAATTGAAACTAATTGAGATAAAAGAAGTGTTCTTAACAAGTAATTAATTCAATATTGATGTAATAATATTTTGGGCTTAACTTAAAATTAAGATATAACAAGGCTTGATTAATCCAATATTAGAGTTATTTCAATCTTAATCAAGGTATAAAATAGTCAATGAATTAGATACATCGTATAATTAACTTTATATGATAAAATATTATAAGCAAGATCTAAATTTAGATGATGTTCTAACAATAAAAATTTTCAAAAGCATATGAATAACAAAAATATCCTATATTAAAATAAGATATATTATTCTTTCATCATATTACATAATTCTTCAACATGATCTTAAAACTCTAGGATAGTTACTAAAGTTTCTTGCCCAGTTTCTTTTGTGACTATAAACGTCTCTTCGATTGACTCTCAAACATCCAACGATAAGGCTACTTACTCACTAATAGTAAGATAGCACTGCCTAAAGGAAAAGAGGAAAAGAACAAAACCTTTCGAATAAAAGTAGAGAGTTCCTAGATGTTATGCTCAAATTTTTTTTTTTACACTTACACAAAACAAAAACATTTTCAAAAAATGCTTTATCAACACTCTTGAGGACTGATACAAGAGTTATCATAAAGCAAATCTCCTTACTATTGGCATTTCAAAAATAATTTTCAAAAAAACACACAAAGCACAAGGTACTTTCAAAATGAGCTAAGCATCTAAGAGCCCGTATATAAATACGAATGGAAAGGGTGCTAACACCTTCCCTTTCCATAATCTACCCCCCTTACTCAGAAAACTATCGAAAGGCCTTTTTCCGTTCTTTTCACCCTTTCCTTTGTTGGATAAAAGAAAAGTCGGTGGCGTATCTTGCTTACCGCAACATTTACGAATATAAATGCAAAACCAATATAACAGTCGGTTCTGCCTCCGTATTACAAAACTGGCGACTCTGCTGGGGAATCTATAAAAAGTGGGGTTACCTTAGAGCTTAGTTCATTTTTAAATTGCTTCACATTGTGTGTTTGCATACTTTATCTTTGAGGGCTTGTTTGGGTTATTACTAAAAGATCCTACACCCGGATCTGGGACACCTTTTAGGTAAGCAACAATAGATCGTGGAGACTGTACGGCATAGACCGATATGGTCGAAGTGATGGCTGCGTTAGTATGACACGTTTTTTGGTACCGGTATCCCTTGTGTTAAATCGAGGAGAATGCGGGGCCGTTGTGTGGTGTCATAAAGCACTAACGGACCTTAGAACCTTAGTTGGACAAACTTGGCCATTAGAAAATAGTGAGATAGCCGACCTCTGTATAAAGCTGAGGATTGGTTGATACTCGAAGCTACACTCATTAAGATCGGACTTTCGAGATATTTCGGCCGCGAGAAAAGATTGCTTGAGCTGAAACAATGCCTGATAAAGAAAGATCAGTGATATTGAGACTCCTTAGAACCCGATTACTTTTCTAAGACAGGTTGAACCAACTAAACTTCAAGAGGGTACTTACCTATAAACCCCATGCAAGCCTAAACTTAAGGTCTTGTTTGATTTGCTTGCGTGTGATTAAATTGTTCAAGCCTAACATCATGCATCATGGCATCAATTTGCATTTCACTAACCATTTCAAGGACTAGGGGAATTTATCTTTGTTCTGTTTTGCAGATCATGGCTTTCATTCGTAGAAATACCATCCGAATCAGCTTTGTGAGAATACCTCTCCAACTCAAAGAGCTAGTAACAAGGGTTCCAGAGACTTCCTCGTTCACCAAAAAATATGGTCGACTTCTCAACCTGGTTACCTCAAACTTTAATGAGAAGATGAAGGGGGTACACTTTCAGTTCTTTGACCCCAAACACAATTGTTTCACATTTCCCGATTATCAGTTGGTACCCACCATGGAAGAGTTCTTTCAATTATTGGGCATACCTATTCTTGATCATACACCTTTCACCGGTTTAGAGGAAGCTCTAAAGCCAGAGATCATTGCAGCAGCCTTGCATCTGAAACGGTCCGACATTATATTCAATTGGGAAACAAGAAACAGAGTCAAGGGTTTCATGGTCAAGTTCCTACTAGAAAAGGCTCAATTGTTTTGGGATGATTTGAATTTCCAAGCTTTCGAAGAAGTCCTAGATCTTTTAATCTATGGGTTAGTACTGTTCCCTAATCCGGACTTACTCATAGATG